GCTACAAATTTTAAAAATAAAACTACACACACACACACAACCTTTCGCAATGAGTTTCTTTTTTTTTTTTACCGGAAACCCGCTTGGGAAACGTGTATAACATCAAGAAGGAAGAAACCAAGGTCGACGACCCTGCAAAGCTGCAACTTGGTGCAAAAATATATATGAATAAATAGAATAATTGATAAAATATACATATACAATAGAACCTCCCTGTAAAGGACACCTAATTGCAGAGTCAAAGTGTCCTTTAGGGAGTGGTGCCCTCTTACCTGAGAGTTACTAAAAGAAACTCATTGCGAAAGGTTGTAGTTTTATTTTTAAAACAGTTTAACACTAAGGTAAGTTCACCATGTCTCATAGCTCTACTATCTCTTTCTCTTCCTAACACTATTTGTATTTGGCGATTAAACTTTCTAGGAAAAAGAATAATTGTGTTTCAAACAAAGTTTGTGCTTAATTCATTTTACTTTAGAGAATCTTTTTAAACGTTTTTCTCTTTCTCCAATGTTACTTATTCATTTGCGTGAAATTGATTTAACAATTAACGTACTTCTTGAGTGCACATTGTAAAACTATTTAACGTTTAGTTAGAGTTTTTTTCAATGTTTTTGTTGAGAATAATATCGTATGTTGTGGAATTTGTGTTGTTTATAGAGTCTTGTGATTTAGCATTGTATGACATATATATATATAATTTCTCGACGAGAGAGTTGAAGGGGCTGGAGTAATAGAAGAAAACATACAATTTAACATAACCTAGGTGTAAAAGATTAGAATTATTTTATTTTGTTCATTAGAGAAAAAGAGAGAGATTAAGATTGAAACTAATTCATTACAATGTCCATATAAGTTTATATAAAGTTTTAAATTCAGAATTTTCATAAATATGAATAAATAAGATTATATAATGATATATATTGTTACATCAATTCAAAATATTCTATGATATTTAATATTTATTTAAAACAGAATATTTGAATTATCATCATTCCTGTTTATAGTTTCATTCCTTTTGTAATATTTATTGTACATATATCTTGATTGGTTATTGGAGCGAGAGAGGACCTAGACGAAGACTGCGGATCACGACCTACGAGGAAGACCACAAATAAATAAACACAACAACTTTGAAAGGTAATTTATTTTTATTTACTTTTATTTATTTGCTTTGACTATGGAAACCCGCTCTGGAAACGTGTATAACACCAAAAAGAAAGAAACCAAGGTCGACGACCCTGCAAAACTGCAACGTGGTTCAACAAATTATATGAATAAATATATAAAATAATTGATGAAATATACATATAAAGTAGAACCTTCCTGTAAAGGACACCTAATTCCAGAGTCAAAGTGTCCTTTAGAGAAATGTGTCCTCTTACCTGAGAGTTGCTGAATTGTAAAAATGGTAATTTTTCAAATGAAAACTGTCCTTTGTAGAGAGATGTCCGCTAGCGGGGTGTCTGCTAAAGGGAGGTTCTACTGTGTATAAATACAGGGTCCATTATGAAAGTAATGAGCATAATGTTATTGTGACGCGACGATAGATGGCAGCACGGTAAAACCGTGGATAATGTGGTGGAGGGATATGCCCTTTCAATCCACCCGGTCGTCAGTTGAGTTCGAGCAGTGTGAGGGGAGATACATGCCTCCGCTTGAAGTGTGTTTTCAACTTTTGTAACATAGCGCGATGGAGCGTTTGCTTGAACAACGATACGCCATAAAGTTTTGCGTGAGGCTTGGAAAAAATGCAACCGAAACATTCCAGATGCTGCAAAAACCCTTCAAGGACGATTGCATTTCAAGATCACAGTCTGGGAAGTGGCACAAGGCGTTCAAGGAGGGCCGGGAGGAGGTCGCCGACGAACCCTGTTCAGGACACCCAACAACGGCCATAACTGACGAGAACGTGGATCGTGTGCTCGAAGTTTTGCGTACCGACCGTCGATTAAGCATCCAGCAAATTGCTGACAAATTACACATGTCCACATTTGTGATACATGGGATAGTGACCGAGGATCTGCAAATGCGTAAGGTCTGTGCGAAGCTTGTGCCGAAAGTGTTGACGCAAGACCAGAAAGAACTTAGAGTTTTGCGCTGTCAAGAATTGTTGGATTTGATTCAAAAAGAACCGGACTTTCTGAACTCTGTAATAACCGGAGACGAATCCTGGATGTTTGAATACGACCCAGAGTCGAAAAGGCAGAGCTGTGCATGGCACACAAAATCATCCCCACGCCCCAAGAAAGCGCGAATGAGCAAGTCACGCATCAAAACAATGATCATTGTCTTTTTTGACATCCGAGGAATAGTCCATTGTGAGTTTGTACTGCAGGGACAAACTGTAAACTCAGCCTTTTACCTGGAGGTGCTCAGGAGAATGAAACGCCGGATCGCACGCGTGAGGACTGACATTAAAGACACGGTCAAGCTCCACCATGACAATGCCACCAGTCACACAGCCTTCATCATTACCAACTTCCTGGCCCGGAGCAACACCTCGGTGATCCCTCACCCCCCTTACAGTCACGACTTAGCTCCATGTGACTTCTTTTTGTTTCCTAGACTCAAGAGAGAGATGAAAGGAAAACATTGGGAAACCGTGGAAAACATCCAACACCATGTTACAACGTTCCTGAGAAGCATTCCTGTCGAGGAGTTTCAGGCGTGGCAAACGAGTCTCCGCAAGTGTATTGATGCAGGAGGAATGTATTTTGAAGAATATTGAACATTTGCACAAATTCGATCAATAAATGTATTTTTTGCCAGTAAATGCTCATTACTTTCATAATGGACCCTGTATGTACAAGTCGTCATTGGTGGTGCCCACCGCGGGAAAGACTCCTTCACCGGTGGACTGAGAAAGTGAGAGAGAAAATAGAGGTAACCCGGGCTCCTGGAGCGAAAATCGCCAAATTCCCGGATACACTAGTATCGGACGCTTCTAAATTGTAGGTGTTATGTAAATTTATTGTTTTGTTCGTTCAATGTATGAAAGATATGTAAAATAGGCCAAGATAAAAAAAAATCGATTAATAAAAATCAGTTTATATTACGATGCACTAGCGCGCCATCTGTTATCAAATTACGAAACTATTTTAGACGCGTAATATTCTTTTTAAAATAAAACAATTTCTACTGCCCTTACTGCAATGGAAAAATTAAAGGGAGGGCCAGGCTCATCAGTGGTGAACCCTCCCAGCGGTTTCGCCAGTTTAATCTACCATACCGCTGTTATATTGCACTTTTGGAACTTTGGAAGATCAGTTTGGAAGTGAGGTTGTCTCGGACGTCTTTTTAACTGAATCTCCTTCAAAACTTGAGTTCTTCCTTTGTCTCCAGGTGAGTCCCTCGATATCTGAAATCAAAAACAACTAGTGCTGTCAGACTTAGCACGCCAACACTAAGAAAATATACACACAGATTTATTAAGACCACCAGTCTTATACAGATTCACCACAGGAAGGAAGCATAGATGGAGCTCCTATACTCTAGGTAGCGTAGAACCCAACAGCCTCTAGGTATGATGCATGTCCAGTAGCCACAGAATTCACTGTATCTTATACAGATTCACCACAGGAAGGAAGCATAGATAGAGCTCCTATATTCCAGACAGCGTAGAACCCAACAGCCTCTAGGTATGACGCATGTCCAGTGGCCACAGAATTCACTGTATCTTATTCAGATTCACCATAGGAAGGAAGCATAGATTGAGCTCCTATACTCCAGACAGCGTAAAACCCAACAGCCTCTAGGTATCACACATGTCCAGTAGCCACAGAATTCACTGTATCTTATACAGATTCACCACAGGAAGGAAGCATAGATAGAGCTCCTATACTCCAGACAGCGTAGAACCCAACAGCCTCTAGGTATGACGCATGTCCACTGGCCACAGAATTCACTGTATCTTATACAGATTCACCACAGAAAGGAAGCATAGATGGAACTCCTATACTCCAGGCAGCACAGAACCCAACAGCCTCTAGGTATGATGCATGTCCAGTGGCCACAGAATTCACTGTATCTTATACAGATTCACCACAGGAAGGAAGCATAGATAGAGCTCCTATATTCCAGACAGCGTAGAACCCAACAACCTCTAGGTATGTCGCATGTCCAGTGGCCACAGAATACACCGTGCATAGGTTAGCGTATTACTGAAAATACACTAGGCAAATACACTAGCGTAAATTGAAAATGGTACATCCAGAAGGAACTTGTAGACTATCATTATACTTATCATGATGATAGGCTATTACGAATCGTCGATCCTTTTCTTGTTTAATGTTTGGCAAGTTTTAAATGGGGGGTCGATGGAAGGGTGGTCTAAAACCGTTGGCTTTCGACCGCTACGACCTAGGATCAAATCCCGCATTGGGCACTTTTTTTATGATAAAAAAAATGCTCCAATGGTCCCCGAGTCTTGCAAAAGTCCAACCCCATCCGCGAGTACAAGTAATCAAACTGGGCTTTGGCACACTTGTAAGTGCAAAAGTCGAACTGCTTTCACATGTGTAGACATGTGGTGCACTTACAGTAAAAGCAGTCGCCAACTTCCACCCACCATGATTATCATGGCCTGTATCATGTGTACTAGGGATAATAAAAAATGATTTTTGAAAGTTTTGTGATGCCTTCTGGAATAGTTTGAAATTTCAAACTAGTAGGAAACCAGTACAAGAGAAGGTTGGGACATGTTGGGCCTTGACGGCGCTTTTTTATTGGTCTATCAACACCTGTGACACCATTTCCCATATGGCCTACTGGAGATGTTCAAGAGGAGGATAATCAGCAGATTTAGACATCTTGTCTCTGGACATCTTGGATAAAGGGATTACTGGAGGGATTGTCAAATTATTTTATAACATAAGCAGTTTTAAGCTTCTCAGTGTTTGGAGAGAAGAATTTTGTTTGTTAAGTGAACCGATCTCCCACGTCATTGGACAAATGTGGCCATGTTTGTATATAAGAGGGTATCATAGATAAGCGAAGGGGCCTATCCCACGTGGTCTAGTGGTTAGGATATCTGGCTTTCACTCAGAAGGCCCGGGTTCGATTCCATCTTGTCTCTGGACATCTTGGATAAAGGGATTACTGGAGGGATTGTCAAATTATTTTATAACATAAGCAGTTTTAAGCTTCTTAGTGTTTGGAGGGAATAATGTTGTTTATTGGCTAAGTGAACCGATCTCCCACGTCATTGGACAAATGTGGCCATGTTTGTATATAAGAGGGGATCATAGGTAAGCGAAGAGGCCTATCCCACGTGGTCTAGTGGCTAGGATATCTGGCTTTCACCCAGAAGGCCCGGGTTCGATTCCATCTTGTCTCTGGACATCTTGGATAAAGGGATTACTGGAGGGATTGTCAAATTATTTTATAACATAAGCAGTTTTAAGCTTCTTAGTGTTTGGAGGGAATAATGTTGTTTATTGGCTAAGTGAACCGATCTCCCACGTCATTGGACAAATGTGGCCATGTTTGTATATAAGAGGGGATCATAGGTAAGCGAAGAGGCCTATCCCACGTGGTCTAGTGGCTAGGATATCTGGCTTTCACCTAGAAGGCCCGGGTTCGATTCCATCTTGTCTCTGGACATCTTGGATAAAGGGATTACTGGAGGGATTGTCAAATTATTTTGACAAACAAAATCAGCTTTAAGCTTCTTCATTGTTTGGAGGGGAAAATGTTGTTTGTTAAGTGAACCGATCTTTCACGTCATTGGACAAATGTGGCCATGTTTGTATATAAGAGGGAACCATAGATAAGCGAAAGAGCCTACCCCACGTGGTCTAGTGGCTAGGATATCTGGCTTTCACCCAGAAGGCCCAGGTTCGATTCCCGGCGTAGGAATTTTTTTATGGTTCGATTCCCTCCGTCGCATCTTTTTATAGATTATCATACACTCTGGTTAGTAGCTCGTAAACCACATTCTCTCTCTAAGTGAAGTTTCTCAGAAGTTGTGTGGAGACGTCGTTCTCTGTGTCCATGTTTGGTTATCTCCCCGCATACCTGTGTAACCCCGGTCCTCTCCTTATCAACACTGCAATAAAAGAAAAGTACTGTTTTTTATGTATGTATGTTGTACATATATTAATTATTTGTTACCACAGAGTGTGTGTAAGCTCACAGGTAAATAGGCGCTTACCAAAACAAAAACAAAAAAAAAGTTCCTTTGTTCAATATTAGTTTCCCTTTTATATTTTGTTCTCTCTCTTGTAAATCAATAAATATAATGTTTAATTAATATAATTATTGGAATCAGTTTCATTAATAATTCTAAGCAAAGTCAACAATGTAACTGTAATGTTCCTTCAATTAAATATATAAATATGCTTTACCAAATTAAGAAACAAATTTTAATTATATATCTTTATAATGTTATATATACACTTTTGAATATATTTATAACAACAAAAAACAACAATTATAGTGCTGCCAAATCCAAAAATTCAAAAATAAATCAATTAAACAGAGTACATTATAATATTATTATAAGGTACTAGACGGGTGACCCGGGCTTCGCCCCGGGATTGACCCGTGTGCATATCTACCCGAGTGATATATATTTAGATAAGATTTTTTTATATAATTGTTTGGTATTAGCATTATCTATTTGTTTGCATCAGCATAATTTAATCTAATCTTTGATAGAAGGCGCTGTTCGTGAGCTAAGTAGAATAATTTGAATATATAGTTTTAATAATTGATTTATATATTTTTTTAAATAGCCTATTGTCTTCCCCGTATTTTTTTACCTATGTATGGAAATTTTGGTTTGAATTAGTGAACTACTGCAAATTTGTATACCGCGGACATACAAACAAACAAACATACAAACATTGAATTTTATATATATAGATATAACAAATCGTGAGTTTGTTTAAAACGTTTTTGTTGTTATACTCTTGAGTGTACGCTTTTCTGTGTGTTAAGTCCTAGTGTAATTTAGGCACTTTGTGTGTTAACCCGTAACATTTGTCAGGATGTATGTATCACTTTACGATAGGAACTAGTCATATCAACAGCATGGTAGACTTGGAGATTGAGAGTTCCAGCTGGAATGGAGGCTACCAGCGCAGTTTTGTCTGTATTTTTGGCGTAATAGAGCTAAATCATTAAAAATGGCAGTTGAATAGAAGCTCAACAAATACAGTAGAGTCTCATGAGAGAGAGAGCCTAAAGATATGTCTAAACTTTGGCTCTTCCGAGATGATTTCCTATCAGAGTTTCTGCCATGTCAGGCAAAGTCATAAGGAGAGACGAAGTTTATCCATGTTTGTAGATGATCTCTCAGGAAGTTCTACTGTATCAAAGGCTACCAGAGCGTAAAATTCGCATTAAATTGTCAAACAACTTAAGGACAAATGTTTATGATAAATGTTAGATGATCAAGACAAAGGTTTCCATTGTGCGGGACAGTTGAAATAAAATGGGCATAAAAATATAATTTCTGAGTCATTCATTCAAACATGGGTTGCCGATAAAAAAATAGAAATGATGGATTCAGGTCACGGCTCGACGATCTGATGAAGGATGGTCTCAGCCAGGGAGCACGAGAGGCCGGTAGCATCTGGCTCAAGATTCATGACTTCTATGACATTGTTTTCCACCAGACAGGCATAGCGTTTGGACCTAACCCCACCTAGTTGATCCCTCAGGTCCACTTCCATACCCATGGCACGTGTAAACTTGGCCTCGGGGTCAGCCAACATTATAATCTTCTGATCAGTTTGGCAAGACTTAGCCCATGCTTCCATGACGTAAGGGTCGTTCACGGCGACACATGCAATAATGTCAACACCTTTAGCTTTGAACTTGTCGTATAAGTCTACGAAGCCTGGTAGATGGTTCCTGTGGCACACTGGAGTGAAGGCTCCAGGTACCCCCAGAAGTACCGCTCTCTTGCCCGTGAAGATGTCGGGAAGACGGATCTTTTCTGTGGGGCTCTTGTACACCTCAACTGAGGGGATCTCATCACCGGCCGTTCTTGACATGGCGAGCTTTTACAAAACGTTATGTGTGCCTAGCAACACCCTGGGAAACACAGTTAGATATAACCATTTGAAACTAATGGATATTTGATCATTTCAAATCCTTTATCGATCCTCAGTCAACAGTAAAAGAAATGAATGAAAAGAAGATAGAAGCATATATTTTCATGTAAAAAAATCGCGGTCTCGCGCAATTCTGGCCTTAACTACCCGTTTCATGATTTTTTAGGATGCCTGAATGACCTGTTTTTTGGTCGTTGAGGTACAGCTTGCACCATGCTGATGAGGGCCAACAGCCCGAAGCGCCTCCGTGGTTAGCTTTTCTTGATTAATCAAGAATGGGTAATTGGCCTAATTCTGGAATAATTAAAAATCAACGAGAATAGTTGATATTTATTCCGATAGATGGCGCAAGCCATCAGCAACTTTCAGTTGCACGATAAGGAGATGCCTTTTTCTTAATATATTTTCATGTTTTCATCTTCAGCCTGGTGGCTTCTCTATATTGAGAGATTTCTCGTTCAGACAGGATCTTTTTGTCCTTCCCTCAGTTCTGTGTTTAGGAGGAACTTGTACAAGCATGCCTTAGGGGACGCTAGGATGGCCAGGGCATCGTTATCCAGGCCTCGCCGATGTTAGGTAGATAGCGGACGAACATAAGCCTGGAAAATCAATGCTTTATTCAAACATAAGGCATTAGCAAGCCATCTATATACAATACACCTTCATGAGAGGATACTCTCGCTAGAAGACACCTCTCTACAAAGAACAATTTTTACCATCAAAATGACCATTTTTACTAATTAGAAATTCTCCGTAAAGATAGAGGCTGCCTGGCCGGCATTCATATTTCTTGAAAATAAAGATACTTTAAAATTAAAAATTTTAAATAAAAAGATTTACTGGCCGAAGTATCTTTATTTTCAAGAAATAGAAATTATCCGCTAAGAAGATACCTCTCTCTAAAGGAAACTTTGGCTCTGCAACTACCGTATATATAATGTAGATATGTAGATATGTATGTAACGTATATATATATGTAATGTATATATGAATGAAAATATTTACGTATTATATGTAGTTAAGGCTGGTATGTCTATATATATATAAATGAATGTTTGTATGTTGTTTGTTTGTATGTCCGGTATACAAATTCGCAGTAGTTCACTAATTCAAACCAAAATTTCATACATAGGTAAAAAATACGGGGAAGACGATAGGCTATTTTAAAAAATATATAAATCAATTATTAAAACAATATATTCAAATTATTCTACTTAGCTCACGAACAGCGCCCTCTATCAAAGATTAGATTAAATTATGCTGATGCAAACAAATAGATAATGCTAATAACAAACAATTATTAAAAAAAATCTTTTCTAAATATATATCACTCGGGTAGATATGCACAAGGGTCAATCCCGGGGCGAAGCCCGGGTCACCCGTCTAGTATGTAATATATGCAATATGCACATATAATGTATGTATTTAAGTCATGTGGTAATATACCACAGGTATATAGGTGTCTTTTACAAAGAGGGTCATTGAAGTATTTTTTTTCTTCAGAAAAAAGTTCCTGATGCGAGGGATTTGATCCGAGTCATGGTTGAAGAAAACGTCGGCTTTAATGATCCAACCCCTAATAACACCATAACAAATATAAATTTGTGACAAATAGGACAAAAGTGAAATTGTACTGAGGGGAGACCTGATGGATAAATTTAAAAAAAGACATCTCCTGATTGTAAAATTAAAAGTCGTTGATGGCTTGCGATATCTTTCGGTATAAATTTAAACTTTTTTCATTCATCAACATTTCTAGAATAAATAAAAATCAACGATTAGTTGATATTTTTTCTGACAGATGGCGTAAGCCATCAGTAACTTTTTGTTTCACGATCAGAAGATGTATTTTTTCTTTCTTAAAATATAAGTTTGTCATAAGGAAAACTTCACGAATTGTATGTAAGATAGATTTGAGAGACATGGAGAAATTAAACGGAATTTTAAGAATTATATTTGGAAGGATAACTATAAAAGATGTTTTTCTTTTCCTCTGGTTAATACTTAGCTTGTCTAATTTTTCCTGTAT